TACACTAAGTAACATTTAATTTCGCAAATAATCTTAAAATTTATTTTTTTTAATTTCTTAAACCTATGTCTTATTCACCCCTTGACTGCCATATGCATCACCGATGCTTCACAAACACACAGATTTATATGGTTAAAATTATTTCTATTGTCTCAGAAAGTTGCTTCGTATTCTTGGTTTCCAGCTTCCGGAAGCGGTTTTCAATAAATTGTTATATAATTTTAATATTGTTACGAAATGTACAAGCGCGGTAAGATGGCTTCTCCGCAAAGCAGTTTTAGGGTTGCCATAAAATAGAAAAGGAGAGCAGGGTTACCACATTTGGCGAGAAATCGCCCATTTGGCGACAAAATTGGCGATATACCATGGACGGTTGGAGAACCTTCTGGAACGAATTCTTACCGGTTTAGTCCAGAATGTTCCCGAACACAAGCCGAAAGCTATATAAACCCTGCTGGTCCGCAGTCAGGAAGTGTGCTTCATCGAGAGGGAGTGTGCGCCTCTCATCGAGTGAGTGTGTCTCGTCTAGCGAGTCAATCCCTACGGAAGCCATCGCGTTGACAGCAAGTGCCGAGTGGGTCGTCGAGTGCACCGAAAGAGTCTCGTAGACTATCGCGGTTAGTGCATCGTCGAGAAAGCGTGTTGAGCTCCGGAAACGACTGAACCGAGAGTCGGGAGCGTGCTCTGTGTGTCGTCGAGTGCATCGCGAGTTGTAGCGTGGAGAGTCTCGAGAGTACGTGGAGTTCCGAGAACGACCAAGCAGAGTCGGGAGCTGTACTCCGGAAAGCAGAGTCGGCTGCTTTGCAGGAAGCTGTCTCCACCGTGATAACCTGATAACCTGAAGGCTGTGTCGCTGATCGTGTCAGCGTGTTTACAGTAGATCTTCGACTACTGTAAAACGTGTTTTGGAGCTGTCCTGACAATTATTGATAAATAAAGTGTGTTTCGATACTTAATTAAGTAGTGTCGTCGTTATTCACTCCAAATCCACACAAATCCACACGAACGTGAAGGAAGAAAATAACGTAACAACAGGTGTCAGAATAATCAGAAGAAGAATAGAAAAAACGTAACAATATATATTTTTCTCCGGTAACTTTTAAGTAATTGTTATTTATGTGGAAATAATACTAGGTACTGAAATGATTTTAGGGTAAATGGGGCAAGAAAACACTAAAATTAAAAATTGGCTCGACAGAATATTTTACCCAGTTTTGCTGTGGCAGTCAACATTTTAAAATATTATTATAAATTACCAAATTATAGCATAAATAAACTGCGTAACATTGGTGAAAATACATTGCCCGTATTTCTATAGATAAAAACTACGTTATCTTATTCCTTCGACAATCAGCAAACAGAAGGATATATGGCAATTTTAAAATGTCTTGCAAAGCCCATTGCCTTTCCTGTAAAACGCAGTCCTGTTCTATAAAGTCAGCTTTAAATCTGAAACAGTTAGCCACGTCTCCAGTTTTCTATGCAGAAACTAATGTTCTTTCTAATATGTGTGATCATTAAATTCTATGTTTTCATTGCATAGAGAGCCCGACTGCTGGTGAATTCTTAGAGTTCAATCAAATAAAGAATATTTTATTATTGCCCAAAGTTGTTCATCTTCATTTATTTAAGAGGGAAAAAATTCCTGTGAAAAAGAAAAAAAAAAAAAAAAAAAGGTTCTTCTTTGCAAGAACTTTTCCAATAATTTTTCATTAAAACTATTCCATATTTTGTTATTCTTTGTTCTGATGATCCCTCCCATGTCTAGATAAACTCCCCAAAGAACACTTCAGATTTCGAAATAAGCTGTTCATGACTAATTAAGAAGTTAATTAAGAAGGCTGCAGTTGGCATACGTAATAAGTGATGTGCCTTAATCATGTTGGGCGTGGTGAAATGAATCAACGCGTCAGTCATAAGGATCAGTTTTATAAAATGATCAATGATTGTGATTGGTGCAATCTTATCAATCTTCTGCATTCTTCTATCTCTTCTTGATATTAAATACAATAATAATGAAAAGAATATTGTTGTTGATGTATCTCAAAATTCAATACTCAACCTATGGTGTGTCTTATGCATGTTAACGACTTTCGGTAGCGATCACAACTGTCAAATTGCCTGCTATACAGGCAATGAAGGTACGGTCTTTGTGTAGTAGACGTTTTTGGACTTCGAGGCATTGGAGAATGGTGTTCTAATTAAAAAGTTAATAACTATCTTTATTTGAATTACGTATTGTTACGAATTTGGTATTTAAAAAGCTAATGTTAGTTCAATTACAAATTAAATGATTTTATTTCTCGCGCAGTGCAGCGCGTGACGAATATTAAAAGAAAGCTAAGCCGTAAAATTGAAATTACAAGAGCGCGTGCATTAAATAAATAAATATCTCTTTTTGATTTCGAGAAAGTACTGGAAAATTCTAGCGCGTGATTTTAAAATCTTATAAAAGGAGGAAAACATCTCAGTTTGTAGTAGTTGCTTAGTTTGTTGTTGTTTAGAAAACTGCTCTTGTTGATTGTAGCGAATTCGCGGATTAGCGTTCTTTAGCTGTTTTTAATTGCGTTCTATTGGACATTTGAGTAGTTAAAAGATAACTACTGTGAGATATTGTAATACTGCATGATAATTTGAGAAAATTTAAGCATTTTTTTTGTTGTGATAATAATAAATTTTTTTTTTGTTCATTTTTCATCGGACTTGTGCATTCATTTCATAACGAACCCGTACGCACGCAACAGTATTATTCGCAGGCAGGAATAGGAAAGTAAATATAATGACTGTTATGACCTCTTTCAATTCGGCAAAAACATTCCAAAAGCTTCTAAAGTTAATTATTTTAGTGTTATATTAAATTAAAAATTTAATTTGAATGATCGTATGCAACATGTTATTAGAAGGAGTAGAAAGATTGTGCATAGCCGTCGACCACTATTGCGCGGGAATTCTATTTTTGATCTGTACTTTAACAGTAGAATTTGTATCACGATTGATATCATGTTCTCTGCATGATTGTTCTACAAGGACTGACGTTAATACAGGGTGATCAGCGAATAAGGAATGATAGTAGTTTTTCTCCATTGGGGGGACCAATCCTGTCTCCCAAATATATTTAAAAATTCTTAAGATGACCTTCTTTGCCACTTCACCAAGATGTTTAAGGAATTCCGCAGGCATATTTTCTTCACCTGGAGAATTTTTTACTTACTTCAATTTTGAAATCAGGGATTATTCGCTGATCACCCTGTAAGAACAATATTTCAAAATTCCGAACACTGCAAAGCAAAATATTAAATACGGTTAATGCTCTATTAGGAATTTTTCACTTCAGCAAGATTTCAAAATCTTTTTCATCAAAGCAACTATTTACACAAGTGATGCAAACACCTTTTCAACAAAGCTTCTACGCAAAAACTCCTTGAATGAGGAAAAAAAAAATTTAATGCACTAAAATGCATCTGGAATTAGAAAATTTGCTGTACATCTTTTTTGTTATCATGGGTTGCGAATTTAAGTTATATTTAAGTACCCAAGTGTTTTACTCGGCTTATTTATTCAAATCCTACAAATTACTGAGTTGTTGATAATCATATTCATGATTCAGTGTGTATATTCAGTATGTATTCAATTCGTGTATACTGCTAATGCACTAATTGGTCTCCCTCTGCAAAAGAGACTTCCTCAACAACAAGATTCAAGTCTTTCTTCTGATAATATTTCCTTTCACTCTTTGAATCGCTAAAAAGAGCACAAAAGTAATTTTAGACTAATATGCACACGGAAATGGTGACTGGTTATAGTAAACGTTTTACAACAAAATTTGGTGATTGGTATACAATAAGTTTTACAACAGAATTTTAAATGCAAGCATATTTTTATAAATCAATAAATTAATTTCAATTTCGGTGGGTAAAAAAGTGAATAAAAATAAGGCTTTGTATTATTAAAATTTGAATCAATGTTGTGATAGGCACATTTAGTAGTCTAACTCTTTAATTATTTAAATAAATTATTATTGAATTTGTTTAATAATTTATTTAAATAAATTTTCATTAAATAATTTATTAGATTTTTATTAATTTATTAAATTTTAATAATATTATTATTTAAATAAATTTTCATTAAATTATTAGTATTTTTCTTTAAGATCTGTCTTCAGTTTTTATTTATGGAAATTGTAATTCATATTTCAAAGAATATACAGAGATAGTTTTTAATCTGAAATATTTAAAACGTAACTTTACAACTTAAATCTTTTGACATTTTCCTTACATTCTGATTTTCCAAGAAATTCCCCTTTCTCTTAGAAGTTTTTTTGTTCATTGATAAGCACTACGCACATTTTATTACGTATATAAGAACTTAAAATATTGTTAAAAAGATGCGAAAGAATGAAACATAATCATTTAAAGTGCCATAAATTGTTAGTTTAAGATGCTTAATATATAAACGGCGGGGGGAATGACGGATAAACAATGCTGAAAATCCTATAAAAAATTTACTAATTAGGGAAAGCTGATGAATTAAAGCTAATTTAAAAGTCTCGAAAAATTGTCTTACTATATGTTAAGACCACTAGTACAACGTGCCGGATTTTCTGTATTAAAAGTCTACATTCAACAAGCCTGATTCAGAAATCACAATTCATAAGTTTCATAAAAACTGTATATGCATAAAATGTGTTCAGAAAATAACTCTAAAATAAGCGCTTTAGAAATGATAATGAATTGAATGAATATTTTATGCTGGTTTTTCTGAAAATAAATTCAGTTGAAATGTTTTCACTATTAAATTCTAAGTCGTACACTCTGGAGTCTAAAATAAAAATTATAACTTAATACAGCAAATTTTTAACTATCTTTAATTTGGCAATTATCAGCTAAAAAGATTATGTTACCTTAATTTAAAAAAAAAAAAAAAAAAAAAAAACATATATAATTCAAGCGATCTGTTGTGAAAAGGATAATGAAAATTATTTTAAAATACAATAATATTACCTGCCATGTTCCCAAACCGACTAACGGCATTCGGTATCCACTAGACAGCATTATGCTTTTCTCTTTAACTTCAGCATATTCTAACTTTTGTGCCTGAAAATTGTTTTCAGGAAATAAATCAATATATCCACCTTTCTGGTACCGAAACATTATTGAAACGGAAGACTGATGCTCTTTGATTGGCAGCTATTCGAAGACTGAACGGATTTTCGATTAGAAGCTGGTGCTAATCATTTTATCACAAATTGCGATAACAAATGCGTGAAGTTGGGAGAGTTTTCTTTAAACAATGAAGATCAGTTTCTGTGTGATAAAAACGGAAATAAATGAGTACGCTCAACCTTAAGAAAATATGCTCTGTATGTGCCTGAGGCATTTTCTAACAGTAAAATATGTATACAATAAAACGTAAACAAACAATAAATTTTTTAAGACAGATTTACGCTTACATTTACTTATAGATTTACATTTACAAATATAGTAGAATCATTATTGCAATAATTGTGGAGGTTTAATTCTAATATCAGCCTACTAACCTTCTAAATTCCAAATACACATCTTTAACCCTTTGCGGCGTGTGTCCGGTCTGGACACACCTAAAACTTTCCTTCTGTACGCACAGAAAAATTGAATGAAAAAGGTTTTATAGGTTACTCTGAGCCTTCTTTATTTACAGTAGAAGGCAGCTTAACACAAACCAGTCCATATATTTTTGTCGTGTTTAGTTTCTTAAGACCCTCATTTTTCAAAGAAATCTTCCAGATTTTTTTTTAGGGTATAAAAGGAATTGTTTGAAAAGAAATTTCTATGTTATTTTTTTGGCTGTATGAAAATCTCCTTGTTCTATATTAGTTTTACATTTTTACCTTGAAATCTTGCCTAAAATCAAACGGCGAACCCTAGGTGTGCCCAGACCGGGCTCACCGATAATCTAGGACAACTGAGAGTCTGTATTCTTTGTTTCTCCGCATCTCATCGGTCAGTTCATTGACAACAATGCTCGTTTCAGCACTCTTTCGAAGCTCTATTCAATCAGTGTGCCACTTTTGGCACACCCCACAGAATTAAAACGATAAGTGCTATCTTCACAAAATTTTACTTGTGTACTCCTCTAGGCCTAATTAGACTGCCTACCTTTTTTTTTTTTTTTTTTTTTTTTTTTTTTTAATAAAAACTCCGACTTTAAAAGGTAGCGTGCCGGAAAGGGTTAAGGCAACGTTTTTCAACTGCATTCCATGAAAGATCACTGGAGGTTTTGCAATGTAATGATGATAAACTAAATTTCTTCCTAGCTAAAAAAAATTAAACATAATTTTTGTAACCGGAATATAAAAACCCACATTCTTCTTAGATACTGTTGTGTGTGCACGGTTCGTAATGGATTGAAAGCACACAGAACCAATGACACCTTGATAAAGTTTATTTTCTCGAAAGACACATTTTACAGCTCTTGGACTTTTCACAAAAGCACTGTTACAGCTTTTCTCAGTATCACAGAGCACGATTAGTAGTTATACTTCAAACTATTGAGACCGTTAAACACAACGCAATGTAAAGCGCATCTAAAAGGCGAAGCTCAGACGGAGATATCTCAATACTCCAAAGTAGACTCAGAACTGAAAATCTGAGAATAGATGCGCCCTCCGGTCTTAATCTAGTTATACCCCGGCCACCGAGACTGCTCTTCTATCTTCCATTTCTTGAAATTATTGAAAGACAGATGCATTTATATATTAGGGCCAGATACGGTTAGAGTTATATATAAGGGTCAATTACATGTATTCACTTACATGTAAGTGAATACTATTTACAGTTATACAGGGATGTGCCAAAATGTCACCAAATGGTCGTCTAATTTGACGACTTTTGGCGATATCTCGCCAAATTTGGCGGTTAAATTAGAATTTACCAAAAACATCGCCAATTTGGCGACATTCTTGTTATTCAGACTTTTCACGTTACATTATGCACAATTCGTAGCAATACTTCATTTAAAATTATTGTTCCAAAATGAATTTTCAGTAAATATCCGCTTTGTATGTGCGTTTCGTTTGTTTTATTACAATATCTGTAATAAAACGCATGCATGAAATAGAATAGTATCATTTCGTAAGGAATTCAGTGCATACATTTGTTAGATAGATTAAGTAGTTAAATGTCAGTTATATGTAAATGTTCATTCAAAGAATATAAATCTATGGTTTTTAGCCTTTGAAAAATTCAGTTTCATTGTATATTTTGGTTTTTAATTTATGACAGCGTAACGCAATATAAAAGTTTAAAAGCCATTTCACATCCGCTATTTTTATTCTAAGCTATTTTAATCGATTGCATTGATTGCATTACGTGTCGTGATCGAGTAGCATGCTATGGAAAGAGTCCCAAACTTTATTCGTGATGACTGAAGAGGGTTCATGATCCATCTCTATGTATAACATATACGGACCAATATCCTTCCGAAATTCTTCCTTCATGACGATATCCACCTTCGTACTCAAATAATCCTTGCTAGCTTTCGCATAATTAATTCTAATTTAATAAAAGAATGGCAAAGGTAGCTTGCCATCGAATTTATAAGGACTTAGAATGCTAAATTCTTGAAGAATATTCGTTCGTATTATTACACAGCTTTAAGAGTCTTAAGCAATTGCAATGAGTTCATTTCTTTAAATAATTTTTTCTGCTGTTCGAAAAATCTTAAAAAATTAGCTTTATATAGCAACAATGCTGATGAAGGTGAAAATCTTTTTTAAAAAAATTCGTCTGAAAAACATACTTCGAACTTACCAATGATAATATTTGATGGGAGTAATAAAGAACAGACTGAAGTAGGTAAAAAAAGTTAACACCCAGAGGGAAACTAAGAGTGTTCCACAATTCCAATTTACAGATATTAAAAAATCTGCTGTGTACACCACATGACTTCCGGGTAACAGAGTGAATATATTTATAAATATATTTATATACGTTTGGCGCGGCCGATTGAAACCAAAGTACGAGGTGCACATCTACATCTTATAGTAGTCTTATATACAAAATTTCAACGTTCTGAGGCTACTCGTTTTTGAGTTATGCGAGATACATACGTACGCACGTACGTACATACGTTCGTACAGACGCCACGAAAAATTCTCTCCAGAATTAATTTTAAAGCAGTTTTTTCGTTTTTTTTGGAGGAAAAGAGTCTTTTATTCTGTCCTTACGTACAGATATCACGCAAAAACATCGTTAAATTGCATTCGAAAGCGGTCAAAGTGGATATTTTTGTTGAAATATGCTGCCTGAAACTTTTCGCGATTACAGTACTTCCTTTTTACTTTGTACAAGGAAGTAAAAATGTATCTTTGATAAAAAAAGAAATAAAACACGAATTTTGAGAATTAAAAAAAATATATTTAAACAACAAAGAGCGTTGAAATCGCGTTCATTGAAGTAGACTTTATCTGTAATGAAACATATTTACCACATGTTTGAAAGCAGCTTGGAATACAAGATTTTACTGCTTAATTTGATGGATTTTATTTGCTAAATTATTTATTCTAAATTACTAATATTAATATATTAGGTACACTCTGCCTCCAAAAAACGGGGGAGGAAGCGGTTACAGTTCAATATCTCCCATTCTATTTGGCCGATTGCCGAAATTTGATTTGCATTTTTCATGTCTCGAAAGCATGATTTAGAATATGTATTAGATTTATATAGCATTGTACTGATATAGGTATTTTGACATAAAATCGGACTTTTTCTAAAATGACAAACCGATATTTTTTTCCCATATTTAGATTATACGGTTCAAATTGTGTCTAAATATTAAATTTTGTAAAATTTCCTGAGAAATTTAAAATTTATATTGGCGCACTTTTTTACAGTTTGCGCCGAAAATAATTCATTTGGCGAAATTCTTAATTTATGGTAACCTATCTTCCTTTCCCTTTCATTGTGTGCGAGCGGAGAAAACGTATATCGTTCATTCATTTTTAGGAAAGTGCGTGAACCACATTTGGTGTTATTATCGCTTATGAAATATATGTCAAATTTCAAAACGCGCCAGTATCACGTATATTTTGTCATCTCACGTATTAAAGCATTCAAAACTCACGTATATCTTGTCAAATTTCGAATAAAATCTCTAATTCTTGACAGGTACGCCTAGAAATACATTTACTTTAAGGTGATTGTATAAACAGCATCGGTTATAATTCAAAATGTTTTCCGAATAATTTATAAAAATTACTAAAAAGTACAAAATTATAGAAAAAAATATGATTTTTACTTGAACTCAACCTAAATTTCGAACTGTGAAAAAGAAATCTATTATATATATATATATATATAAAAAGAGAGAGACTTTTTAAATAAATATACATCAAATTCAATGGGCATTGAGGAGCTAACACTTTGAGATTTAATTTTTTTAAAAACTACTCGTGCGATTTCTACAAAATGGGCCTTTTAATACCTTAAGTTAATCAAAATACCTAAGTTAGAGCAGTGCTACATATAAATCAAATATATATCCTAAGTCATGCTTTCGAGACTTGAAAAACGCAAATTAAATATAGTTTTGTTTCAAACTAAATTTTAAAAAATTACCTTAGAACATTATCCTATATATGTGAAGATAAAATTTGCGACATAAATAAGGACTATTTCGAAATACTCGTATGTAGATTGTTTTCGACAGGAAAGGTATCGTGAATGAAGTGTTAAGACAGTGCGCAAAAAAATGTCAAGGAGAATGACATACATAGAAATCAAATTCCGGCTTTTCGACAAAGTGCCTTTCTTTTTTAAAAGATAAGATCCAAAGAATAGCATCATAACTATTTAATGTGCAAATCCTTTTATACAAAGCACTTCACACTTCAGTGCATGATAAATAATGATCCTCCCATCGCATGACACTTCAGAAACACTTACTCTCTTTTTTGAAATCATAGATGTTCATTTTTCTGTAACTGATTGCGTGCTGAATAGAAATGTTAAAAAATGTTTTGCAGGCTTTAAATGTAGCTGCATTTTGAAAGACTGAAATGTGAAAAATCGCATTTCAATATTTCATCAAACTATTAATTATATTTAAAGAACATTTATGTTATATGGATTTCTAATTATATTTGATGCTTTAAACTAATTCTAAACGCTCTTATCTATTAAGTGCTTTAATATTTTCAAAGATAGCTGATAAA